GAAAAAGGGCCCCTGGACAACAGAGCTGACAGGTGGTCATCCAGCTTTTGTTTACGGACCCCTCCCCTTCTCTAGGCACCATGCACTACATCTCACTTGTGAATAGCTCTGACTGTGACAAGCACGATTTTCCTATTCCTCTTTACACCTTTCATCCATTGCTCCTAATTCTGCCTTCTGAGAATAAGAAGTCTCATACCTTTCCCACGGGATGGCTTTTCCATACCTGAAGACACTTGCCACATCCCCCACACTCACCCAAATCTCCTCTTCTCCAAGCTACACAACCCATTCTTTCAACCACTGCTCATGTGGCATGAATTTGAGGCACTTCACCCTCTTGGGCCACCCTCCCCTAGAGGCTCTCCCACTTATCAATGTTCTTCCTAAAACTGGCATTCAGAACTGAACACAGTACTCCAGAGGTCTTCTTGTGAGAGCAGAGTATAGTGGGACTATCACCTTCTCATTCCTAGAGGCTATGGGGAAGGGACAAGCATTTATTAAGTACCTACTGTGCTAGTGCACTTTAAGTGGTTTACAAATTTTATCACATTAGATTCTCACAATAACCTTGTGAGGAAGATGCTGTTATCCCCTTTTTTTGTTTTGTTTTGGCAGTTGAGGTTAAGTGACTTGCCCAGGATCATACAGCTAAGTGTCAAGTGTTTGGTCTGAGGCCACATTTGACCTCAGGTCCTCCTGACTTCAGGGCTGGTGCTCTATCCACTGCGCCACCTAGCTGCCCTATCACCATTTTATAGTTGAGAAAACTGAGGCAGACAAAAGTTAAGTGATTTGCCCAGGATTACATAGCTGGTGTCTGAAGTTGGCTATGAAATCATGTTTTCCTAAACACAGGGTCACTGCGTAACCTAACCTATGCTTTTCTTAATGCAGGCTAAGACAGAACTCACTTTCTTGGTTGACATACTGAGGCACTGTTGACTCATATTGAGTTTTCAGTCTACTAATAAATGTTTGTTGAATTGGATTGAATAAAACTTCCAGATCTATTTCAAACAAAATGCTTTCTAGCCAGACATCCCCGCTCCCCCTGTCCCAAACTCAGAAAGGTGATTTTTTGAACCAGTATGGGAATTGACATTGATCTGTACTAAATTTCAACTTATTAGATTTCTAGTGTTCTAGCCTGTCAAGATCTTTTTGAATCCTGATTCTGTCATGCAGTGTACTAGCTATCATTCCCATCTTTCTGCTATCTGCAAATTTGATAAACCTGCCATGTCTACCTTTACCCACGTCACTGTATCAGCACTCATCCTTCTTGAGCTTTCTCAAGTTTCTGACCGTGTTGACCACTCCCTCCTTCTGGATATGTTCTCCTTGCCTCTTGGTTCTCCTGTCTGATAGAGCCTTCTCAGTCTCCTCTGCGTAATCATCTTCCATCCGTCACCCACTAAGTGGAGATTTAGCCCAAGGCACTATCCTAGACACCCTTCCCTTCTCTCTCCATTTTCTCTCGAGTTTATCATCTCTATACAGATGACTCCCAGATCGATCGAAAGATAAATGATATAAGTAGATCTATATCTAGCTGTAAACCTCTTTCTTCTCTATATCTCTCTAGCTTCTGCAGAGAATATTCCACATCCCTCCATCTGTAGAGAATAGATGTAGAGCTATATACAAGCCTAGCCTGTCTCCTGAACTTCAGTCCTGAATCACCAACTGCCTATTGGATTTCTCCAACTGCATGTCTCCATAGGCATCTCAAACTCAACTTGTTCAATGACAGAACTTACCTTTCTTTCTAAACACACACTCTGACTAATTTCACTATTTCTACTGAGGCAACTACCATCGTTCCAGGGAAGAGAGAACAAGTACTTCTTAAAACCATTAACTAAGGTACATTTATTAAGCAGCCACTATGTGCCGGGCACTGTGGGAAGAGTGTTACACATACTTTCATTTGATTCTAGTCACCTAGCTTCACACCGAGAGTCATCCCCGACTCCTCACTTTCTCTTATCCCCCATCCTCCATATCCAATCAGTTGCCAAGTCTCCTTGATTCTCTCTCCATATCTCTCACATCCGTCCCCTTCTCTGCCTAGAACCAATTACTACTCTAGATCAGGTCCTCACTCTCTCTTGCCTCAACGGTTGCAACGAGGTAGCGCAGAGGACAGAGTGCAGGACCTGGAGTCAGGAAGATCTGAATTCAAATCTGGACTCAGATACTTACCAGTTGTGTGACCCTCAGCAAGTCACTTAACCCTATTTGCCTCGGTTTCTTCATCTATGATATGAACTAGAGGGAAAAAATGGCCAACCACCATAGCATTTCTGCAAAACACCCAAATGGAGTCACAAAGTCAGAAATGACTGAACAAGACTGTTGAAACCTCCTTCCAGCTGGCCTTCTTGTCTCTAGTCTCTTCCCCTCTCCAACCCATTCTTTACACAGTTGTCAAAATGATCTTCCTAAAGCACCAGTCTGACCATGTCACTCTCCCTGCTGAAGTATCTTCAGTAGCTCCCTATTACCTTGAGAATAAAATGCAAATTATTTTGTTTAGCATTTAAGGCCCTTCCTAACCTGGCTTCAGCCTACCTTTCCAAGCTTATTTACTATGATTTCTCCTCCCCATTCCATGTTCCAGGCAAAGCACCCTACCCTACTCGCTGCTCTCTGAACTAAGCAAGCCATCTCTCACGTCCATGTCTTCGCAAAGGCTGTCATTCATGCCTGGAATGTTCTCAGGGCTAATCACCATACTTTGAAATATATTCCTTCAAAACTCAGCTCAGGATGCACCTCCTACATTAGACCTTTCCTTTTTTTTTCTTTTTTTTGCTTTTGTTAGGCAATGGGGTTAAGTGACTTGCACAGGGTCACATAGCTAGTTAATACATAATGTATTTTCCTAAGCCCTGCTTTTCTTTCCCTGGAAATCACCTTGCATTGACTTTATATGTAATTTTTTAAATTTCCCTGTGGAGCAAAGGTTGGATTCCCCCAATACAGTGTAAGCCCTTCCTAGTGCCTTGTTTTTTGGGGTTTTTTTTCTTTTAGGCAATTAAGGTTAAGTGACTTGCCCAGGGTCACACAGCTAGTAAGTATCAAGTGTTTGGTCTGAGGGCACATTTGAACTCAGGTCCTCCTGACTTCAGGGCCAGCACTCTACCCACTGCGCCACCTAGCTGCCCCTTTCCTAGCACCTTGTATTCTCAGGCACTTACTTTACCGAGTCTCATTTTATACCTCTGAAAATGAGGCAAGGAGGTTACAATTGTACCTTCCAACTATAACAATATTTGACCAGTTCAGGGAGCCAGTCTCCTAAAGAGCAAAGGGCTAGGCACAAAGAACCCAGGACGTCAGAGCTGCGGGGACCCTTAGGACTAACACACATATCCTCCTTCCTCCCAGAGGACCCAGCACAGAAGGAACTGCCAAACAATGAGGAAATGTGGGGAGATGGCGCCACCTGGTGGCACCCGCTCTTCCTCACACCGTGGTCCCAGAGGCCTCCATTTCTGCAAAGGGTGGGGGGATGACAGCAACCAATACAAGCTGAGCCCTTATCTTCAGCCTTTGTCTCTTGCACTCCTCAGTCCATTATAGCAACAAGGTCCAGGTCACTGTTCCCACTCTGGGGATGCTACTGAGCCTGCGTGTGGCCTAGCCAAAGACCAGCTAAGCCCAGATTCCAGACCGAGCCGGGCCCACACAGAGAGCCGATGCTGAGTCCAGACTAAGGGCCTGACCTCAGCGCCTGCCTAAATTCCGGACCTGGCCAAACACTGATCCCAGGCCCGTGCTCCAAGCTGAGTCCCGATGCAGGACCCAGACTCAAGCCCCATACCGAGACCCCCCTACACCGAGTCCTGACCCAGGAACCCCATACCAGGACCCTGACCACTCACTGAGCCCAGGAACTCACTCCAGACTGCCTTGATCTTTGCACAACTTTCTTAAACAAAAGGCATCAAACACAAAATAACCTTTTCCTGATGACTAAGTTATCATTATACCAGAAATTACTCTATAGGGTCTAACAAAAGAACGAGGCGCCTTCAAGTTATGAATCTGGTCCTGCCACTGACTGGTCCCAAAAAGTCTTTCTGAATTCCTCTGTTGCTTCTCACGTGGCTGCCACCCCCCCAGCTTCCAAACATGGACCACGAGCCCACCTGGCCCAACTTTCCTTCCCTCCTAATGTGCTGCTGCCTCTGAGGAAGCCTTGAGTCAGAAGCTAAGATAACTTAGGGGACCAAGGAAGACAAGCAGTCTATGGGCTGGAGATGGACAGGCATTTCACTGTCCCCAAGGTTGCCTTTCTGGTTGGGGGTGTGGTCTGTCCTTCCGTGCCCTGCCCAAGTTACACCCCTGCATTACAAGCAGGAGCCCAGCTTCCCCAGTGGGGAGTGAGATGAACTCGGCTTCACCTTCTGGCTCTTTGGAGCTGTGTGACCCTGAGGGGGTTTCCTGGCTTCCCCGGGCTCTCTGGCACAATGGCACTGCCTACAAACATAGCTGTTGTGAGGCTCCAACAAGGTGAGAGGCGTGTAAGGCATACCACGGAGCTCCAGGTCCCCAGAAGTGCCTCTTGGCATTATTGCTATTGGCATCCACAGGACAATAGGACAGCTTTAAACCACGGAATGCCAAGTTCTCTGAAGACCCCAAAGGCAGGAGGCACAGAGGGCAGTGACAGATTGTGTGGCGGGTTCGAGAAAGTTACAGCTTATTTCCAGTGATGACTTGGGCAGGAACCTGATGGCAGAAAAGACATCCTCCAGGGTACAGGGACCCAAGGAAGGTATTTTTGCAAGAACCAGCTACTCCACAAAATACTCAAGGACCCAAAGAAAGGAGGCTTCCAGGGTACCCAGTAGAACCTCTATGAGAAGTTCCAGATGAGAAATACAGAGCCAGGAAGGATAAGACCCCAATGATTAACACACCTCCTTTCTGTCTCTCCCCCCTTCACACCCACCCCCATGGATGAAAGCACAGCAAAAGCAAAATAAACATGTGAAGAATAATAATTGGTATTATTTCCTTCTCATTCCACCACCCAGGGACACGTTCAGAGCAGTGAGAGACAAAGCAGGATTCATGGGAGATCTGACTTCGAAGCAGATGGAGCGGAGACCTGGGCAAAGGAATGGAGTCCGTGCCCTGCGTGCCAAAGGGAGAAGGTCACTGCACTCGGCCACGCTTGCTTTATTTACAATCAGCAGCTTTTACTGAGCACCCTTGATGAAGCAAATACTGTGGGGTGCTGGTCCCCCAACAGGAGACTTAAGTCTCTTGGAAACCAAAATACCCAAATATACAAAGTAAAAGGCTTGCTCCATGCCTGGGAGAGAGCAAGGTGGTCCCAGAAGGAAGATGCCCCGGAGTCCCCATCCAGAGAGAACAGATCTGGAGCGGACTTTCTCCCCCCAAACCCAAGTGTGGACAGTGCAGGAGTCAGAGTCCCTGGATCGCAGATAAGACTTCCCTTAGGCAGGGCTGACCAGTGGGCATGTGGGCATGTGGTGAGGTTCAGAGATGTTCTCCTCTCCCTTCATATAGAAAGGACTCGAGGAGAAAGAAGGCAGATAGGAGAAAGAGCCACAGCAAAACTAACCCCAGGTCCTCTTCCGTGGGTCCCTTTTTCTGACTCCGGGTCTCCAAGGGAGAATCTAGAACATGGTCCTCAGCTGCACCAGGCCTCATGGGAGATCCCAGAGCCAGGCCATAGCCTTCTCTGAGGGACATGCTGGCTTTGGTTTCTGGCAGCTCGGAGACCCAGAAGCCATCTGGTCGAGTGTGGAGAGGGGAGACGGTCCCCAGTGCCACGTTCTGCTTGGTCTAGTCAATGACTTGTAGTGAGCAGACAGAGACCACTCCTCTCTCCATCCCCCACTCCTTCTCCTAAGCTGCTCTTAGATGGGGAGAAGTGAACCTGCTAGGACCTAATCCCACACTTTCCCCTTCCTCCAGGCAGCACCATTCATGTTCCAACATTCCAGATAGAACCCCAGCTGTCTCAGTAGGGTTTTCAGCCCTGATCCGAACTGGGAATGTTAGCACAGGAACAGGAGCAGCATCAGGAGAGGGGCAGGGGATCTGGGCAAGCTCTTCAAACCTGAGAGCTGAGAAGGCAGAGACAGCTGAGCTTCCCCCTGCAGAAGCCCACATCTGGCCAAGTGAAAGCTATGATTTGGAATACCGCTTCTGACCCCCACTCCTCCTTTCCCGCATTTCCCAACATATCCCAAGTGCAAAAACATCTCCCAACATTCCCTCCCCCCTTAGAAACACTGCATTGTATAGAACCATTAAAAAAATAAGTCTCGGATTTTCTTGGCATTCTGTGCCTGCGGACCCTCTTCCCCCTTTCTGGATTGCTCTGCGCTGCCACCACGGTGGACTCCAGCTCTTCATCTGGAAAACAGAATCAATCAATGATCAATCAATAAACATTTATGACCTAGTATGTGCCAAGTACTGTGCTAAGGGCTAGGGATATAAACAGAGGCAAAAGATGGTCCCTGCCCTCAAGGCGCTTACAGTCTAACGCCCAGGCGTGGCCATGGCCGGGGAATCCTTAGATAGTGGCTCCATGATGGACATTCTTTGGTGGGGGAGCGACTTTTCGTAACAGCCACATGTCACTGTAGGAGGGTTTAGGAGCAGGCGAGTCTGGAGGTGTGGGAATGGACAGCCAGACTCACCTCCTTCTTAGCTGCCTCGCGTGATTCACTCCCCAGCAAGTGCTGGGCTGGCCACACCCTGAGCCTGGTACCTGCCTGCACAGGAATCCCACAAGAGGCTTCCCGCTGCCTCCCTTTCTGAGTCTCCTCACCATAAGTACTCCTGAGCTCATAGGATTCAGAGGCGGGAAGGCCTTAACTCCAACTGCCTTATTTCACAGACAGTGAAACTGAGACCCGAGGAGAAGAGACTGGGCCGTGGCCGTGCAGTGAGTGAATACCACGAGTAAACAGAAGAACGCGCATCTCCCGCCTCCAAATCCAGAGATCTTTCCACCAGCCCTCCCTCCCTGCCTGGACAGCCTCCGAGCTCAAAGCACGCCAATTCTCCACCCCCGCATCCTCTAGCCTGGCGGGCTCTGGGAAGCACAGCAGGGAAACAGTCAAGTCAGAGAACAAGGCTTCACATCCTGCTTCTGCAACGTACCTGGCTGGGGGGCCCTTCAGCAAGGCCCGGCTCTCTCCTCACCTGCACAATAAGGGAGTAGGACCAGAAGATCGCCGAAGCCCCTTCCAGCTCTAAACCCAGCCCTAACAACAGGCAGGCCCAAACCATGCTCAGGAGCCATGACTGTAGATCAGACTGTAGATCAGAAAGCATCTCAGGGAGCCAAGGTGTTTAGCCTGGAGATGACTGGATGGGGAGGATGGAGACTTAGATACCATCTTTAAGCATCTGTCATTAGGAAGAGGGACGAAGGGGAGATTTATGGGGCCCAGAGAAGTTACATGACTTTCCCAAGATCTCCTAGGTAGTAAGGAGCATGAATAAATTCAGTCAGCATACTCTCTACCTACAACGCACTGCCTCTCAAGCAAAGGTGAAGTGTGACCGCCTCAGGGAGGCCTGCCTGGACAAGCCGGCAGGCTGGACCAATTTACTAGCAAGCCACCTAAGTTCTCTGGGCAGACCTCAGTTTTCTTATCTTTTTTTTTTTTTTTGGTGAGGCAGTCGGGGTTAAGTGACTTGCCCAGGATCACACAGCTAGTAAGTTTCAAGTGTCTGCTGCCGGATTTGAACTCAGGTCCTCCTGACTCCAAGGCCAGAGCTCTATCTACTTTGACACCTAGCTGCCCTCAGTTTCCTTATCTGTAAAGAAGAAGACTGAGCTAGGTGGTCTCAGAGGTCCCCTGTCAGTTCTAGACTATGCTTCTCAACCCTCTGAGAGCACTGCCAGCTCTAGATCCTAAGGGCTATGAGGCACCTGCCAGTTCTAGAGCTACGTACCTGGGCCTGATACCTCTGTCAGGGCTCAGAGTCCGTGGGGCATCCCCGGAGATAGAGGAGCCACAGCACAGAATAAGGGCTTCAATACTTGCCTAATTCTAACCACCTCTCCAGTCTTGATCCCTAAAACCTCAGGGGAGAAAAAAAATTCCAGAAACTCTACCATCTCAAGTTCCTCGTCTCAAAGACCGTCTCTTCATCGCTCTCCACTGAAGCCATCTCCATGTGGTCATCTGTATTTGAGAGCAGACCATACTTCTTCCGTTGCGGTTTCTTTATTCTGAAAACAGTTTAAAATACAATTCATTTCAATTCCACCAATCTTTCCTGAGGACCTGTGTTAGGAGCTAGGATCTCCACATAAATCCCAAACCTTCACTGACAGATAATAAACATCATTCTCCACCTCTCCGACTCACTTCAGTAAGCATATGTGAGGTACCTAGTATGGGCTCAGCACGGACAATACAAAGATGAAACCACACAATCCCAGGGAGAATGTGACGGGGACAAAAGCAAGGCCCGCCCAATGCTATGGGAAGGTTGGGGAAGGCAGCTTCCAGCAGCAGAGTGCAGGAAGGGGACAGGGAAGATTCTTTTACACAGGAGACAGTCCCTGAGTCAGGCCTTGAAGGGAAGGAAACAGCTTTGAGCTGAGCTTTAGGGCTGGGCATAAATTCCAAGCAAAGATTGAAAGAGAATTTATCATTACAGACGGCCCAGGGAACAAAGACACTGGGGTTGGCAAAGGAAGCAGGAGGGAACCACTCTGGCCAGCAAGTAAGCGCAAAGAGGGGAGACATGTAGGCTGGAGACAAGGGAATGGGTACCCCTTGCCCCAACTCTCCAGAGGACAGAGAAGTGGAGCCTCACAGAATTCATAATTCAGCCCAGGAAGAACCGCTGCCCTACAAAACCACCATAAAGAGAATCCCAGAGGCAGAATTCTAGAGCCGAAAGGGAGCCCCTTTCACTATATTCCACCCTCTTTTTTTTTTAACAAATCCTTTTATTTATTTATTTTTTAAGGCAGTTGGGGTTAAGTGACTTGCCCAGGGTCACACAGCTAGTAAGTGTCAAGTGTTTGGTCTGAGGCCAGATTTGAACTCAGGTCCTCCTGACTTCAGGGCCGGTGCTCTATCCACTGCACCACCTAGCTGCCCCAAACAATACACTTCTTGTATCTTCCATAGCACACAGCTGAGCAAATAACCGACTCTCAAAATAAATATATACATTACTTAAACTGTTGTTTCACCATCTCCAACCCTCCGCGACCTCAACTGGGGTTTTGTTGGCAAAGGTACTGGAGTCATTTGCCATTTCCTTCTCCAGCTCATTTTACAGATGAGGAAACTGAGGCAAATAGGGTGAAGTGACTTGCTCACACCTAGTTCAAATCTAAAGGCTGGCTTTGAACTCAGGAAGATGTGTCTTCCTGACTCCAAGTCTGGTGCTCTATCCACTACGCCATCTAGCTGCCCTGTGGCTTGGATTAAGCTGTTACAAATGTCTCTGCCAGCTGAAGCCCTACACTAAAGGACCTAACCAACCTCTAAGATCTCCCCCAATGGTCCCTACCTACCTACCCCTTCCAATGCTACCTCTCCCACACTCCCCCAGGCTCTCCACTTCTCTCCCATGCCTTTGGCCATTCCACATCTGAGTCCCACAGGGAGAAAAGCAAAAGAAATGACTTCATTAAATCGAAGTATGGCATAGGGAAGAGCCCTAGACTGGGACTCAGAAGGCCTTGATTTTAAGCCTGTCTTTGCCACTAATTAGCTGTGTGATTTTAGACAAATGATATCCCTTCTCTGGGCCTCTGTAAAATGGAGGATAAACATCACTATTCTGAGACCTATTCCAGCTCTATATCCTAAGGACCATTCCCTTTATAACAGTCTATGTTCAACTCAATGGTGCCTGATTCAATTGGGAAGACCTAGATTCAAAGACCAGCTCTGACCTATACTGGCTTCGTGATCCTGGACAAGTCCTTAAATACTCACTGGGCTCAGCCCACTCTTTAAGACTATAGGTTGCAGATAAAGTGGCAACCTGCATCGGTAGGGGGAGTTTTCTCACCTAAGAGTCCCCAGGTGCAAACCCTACCCTATGATGCAGGCACTGTGCTGGGAAATGGTCATAACAAAGACAAAAATGAAACAGTCCTTACTCCCAAGGCACTTACATTCTATCAGGGAAAGCAACACGGATAAATATTAGGAGACATAAAACATATACACTTTTTCTTTACCTCTGCCTCCTATAATGTCTATCTTCCTTTGAGGCTCAGCTCAAGGGCCACCTCTTGACTTAAAGCCTTGCTCATCCCCCCCCCCACCATTTTGAGTATCTCTTCTCCCCAGCCCCCCCCAAACACTTTATATTTCTTTTGTACACATTCTCTAAATCCCTATATATGTCTCTATATATTTGGCACATATCTATATTCCTATCTATGTCTACCCACACCTCTCTTTCTCTATACATACAACACACACACACACACACACACACACACACAGAGAATTTCCCTGGCTAGATTGTAAGCTTCTCAAGGAAATAGGCAGTAAAACTCTTAACAGTGGGGAAACCTCAATTTGCCTCTCTCAGACCAAGATAAATCTAACCATAAATTAAATAAGAAAGAAGTTAAGGACATTAATAGAATTTTAGAAAAACTAGATATAATAAAGACCTGGAGAATAAGGAAGGGGAATAGAAAGGAATACACCTGTTTCTCATTGTGCAAAACACCTTCACAAAAACTGATAGTGTATCATTTAGGAAAAAGCTTACAAATGCAGAAAAGCAGAAATATTAAAAGCATTTTTTCTGACCACAATGCAATAAAATTTACATTCAATAAATGGACTTTGAAGCATAGATTAACAATTAATTCGTGACAAAGAACTGACAACTGAGGGAATGCCCATCCATTAATCGGGAATGGCTGAACGAGTCATGGCATATGAATGTGATCAAATATCATTGTGCTGTAAGAAATGATCAAGAGGACAGTTTCAGAAAAAACATGGGAAGACTGGATGAACTGATGCAGAGTGAAGTGGGAGGAATCAGAGAACAGTCCATACAATAAAAGAGATATTGTAAAGATAATCAACTTTGAAAGTCTTAGTAACTCTGCCCAACACAATTCCAAAGGACTTATGATGAAACATACTCTCTATCTCCACACAGAGAACTGATGACTCAGAATACAAACTGAATCATATTTTTTCTTTTCTTGCTTTTCTTGAAAACATGGCTATTATGGAAATTTGTTTTGCATGACTATATGTATTTTCAACAGATTTTGTGTGTGTGTGTGTGTGATGGGTGGGGGAGAAGGGAGGGAAATTGGAACTTAAAAAACAAAACCTAATAGAGCACTGGCCTTGAAGTCAGGAGGACCTGAGTTCAAATCCAGCCTCAGACCAAATACTTGACACGTACTAGCTGTGTGACCCTGGGCAAGTCACTTAACCCCAACTGCCTAAAAAAAAAAACAAACAAAACCTAGGCTCCAAACTAGCTCTCCAGCATCACAGCCCCAAATATATTTTGGAAAACATATATCTGCATGTTTGATGCCTGATATTTATAATCAGATAATTTATAATTAATAAGTTATAATCAGATATTTCTAATCATAATTATAATAAAGTTACAATTTCTAATCCAATTGTAAGTTAGAATACACAATTATAATGACTTATAATTTATAATCAGATTATAATTACAATCATTTATAATCAATGAATGCTATTATTTCTACCACATAGTAGGCATTTGATGATGCTTGCTAAATGAGTCATTCAGAGCATTTCCCAGAATACTCCTTTGAGGACAGGAACTGTTTTTGTATACCTAGCCAGAAGAAGGCAGGAAGCACGCTGGATAGAGCCTGGGCCTGCAATCAGGGAGAACCAGTACAAAATCTGGCCTCAAGCAATTAGTAGTCGTGTGACTCTAGTCAAGTCACTCAACCTGTTTGCCTCAGTTTCCCCCACGACAAAATGAGGATAACAACAGTCCCTACTTTGAATGGTTGTCGTGAGGACTGAATATTTGTTCAAAGTACTCTGTACAACGCCTGCCACATAGCAGACGCTACGGAATGCTTATTCTCTTCCCAATGCTTTGCCAAAACAAGGTTGTGGCCTGCACTCAGCGGGTGCTTAATAAATGCTTATTCGTAGTTTAATTTTAGGCAGGTGGTAAGCGGATCATGAATATGGAGCTGAAAGGGACCCTGAAGGTCATCTCGTCCAGCTCATCATTTTCCGGATGGGAAAACAGAAGGACGCAATGATGCAAAGCGCTTTAAAAGTAAAATATCGCGTAAATGTCAGCCACTATTATTGCGTTTAGACTGGAAATCCTTCTCACCACCGGCCGGGTGAGGTAGGCCTGGCATGGCATTATCATCCCCACTTCAGGATGACAGGCGGTAAGAAGGCTCAACCACGTTCAAGTCTTCCCCTCCAAAAAGCTTTATACCGCGAGGAGCCGGTTAAGGGACGCCCAGGACCCGCTTCAGTTCCAGACTCCACGTGACTCCAAACCCTGTGAGGTTCGCCTCACGTGACGCGCAGCACCTGACTTCGGAAGCCATCTCCCTGCCAACCCAAACAGGCAATCTCCCGGCTACTTCCGAAACTAAGGATGGAGGGTCTCTGTCACATGACCCCCTAGCAGATCCAGGATAGGCCCGTGAGGTCTCCACATGACTCACCTGAATGCCCGGATGAGGAAATAGAGCGCAGCCAGTCCACAGAAACCAATCAGCACGTAAAAAGAGCGCTTCACCATCTGTCCTAGCCCAGAGCCCGGCAGGACCAGTCTGGTTTCGTTGTGAGGAGCCGCAGACACGACCAGACTGCTCCCGTTCATCACGGACGGTGTCATCGGCGTCTCGGCGGCCCAGACTCCTGCCCTGCACAAGAGGGCGAGCAGCAGCAGACGCGGCCCCATGGCGGGGGGAATAGCGGCAGCGGCGGTACCCCGCCCTCGAGCCCCTCTGTCATTCACCGGAGGGCGGGGGCGGCGGGAACCAATGACTGCGCAGGAGGCGGGGCTCTGGGTCGTAGTGCCGTGCGATTCCCTATTAACCGCTTTGGCCCCGCCTTCCGGGCGACAGTTTGCGAAGGGCCTGTGGCCCCGCCCCCATTTCCTGCTTTCTCGCGCTGTTCTCCCTCCCACCTGTCTTAAAGGACAGCATATTATGGATTAAATCTGTTTCCTGAGGCAGCTGGTGGCAAGCGTTGAGCCTTAAACCAGGAAGACTTGAGTTCATATTGACCTCAGATGGGCAAGTCTATTTACTTCATTTTCCTCAGCTGTAAAGTGAGGATAATAACAGCACCTGCCTCTGGGAGCTGTGAGGATCAAATGAGGAGATTTGCAAAAGGCCCTCAAGCACAGTGCCTGGCACGTAGTAGGCACCATGAAAATGCATATTCCCTTCCCCCTATATCAGACCCGTTCTCTTTAGAGCCTCACTGAAACCAGGAGTTGTGGAGGAGGGGGTCATCCCCCTTGTATAGGTGGGGAAATTGAGGAAAACGTATCACCTCATCCAGGTCCTGTGACAGCTCCCCAGGGACCCCCAGGATATTTCCCCTGCTTCCTCCTCGATTCCTAGCTTGAAGTCTTTCCATCCCAAGTCCTGCCCTCATACTAGGGGTGTCTAGAGTACATGTTGTGCCCCCAAATGCCCTATTTCCCAGTTCCACGATTTAGACAAGTGGAAGTATTTATTAATCTCCTACAATGTATGAGCCATTGTGATAAAGGCTGGACTTGCAAATACAAGCAGGGAGTTGCTGTCCTCAAGATGAAGAATAGGCGAAGATAGCACAGAGGAGCACCGGAAAGGGGTGGGGAAAGAGCAGTGGGCATGGAGTGGTGATGGAGGACTTCAGCCCTTGATCCTGCCTTTACCAATGATTATGCACTTCCATGTTCATTATCTCTGAAATTCCTTTTGTGGTTGGTTGTTCAGTCGTTTTGATGACCCTATTTGGGGTTTTCTTGGCAAAGATACTACACTGGTTTGCCATTTCCTTCTCTAGCTCATATTACAGATGAGGAAACTGAGGCAAACAGGGTGAAGTGACTTACCCAGGGATCACTCAGCTAATAAGTGTCTGAGTCAGGATTTGAACTCAGAAAGATGAGTCTTCCTGACTTCAGGCCTAGTACTCTATCCACTGTACCACCTGGCTGCCTAGAAATTCCTTTATATGTTGGTTTTTTATCATTTCATCCCTTCCTGTGCCTTTCAACCCCCTGATGCAGTTCTTCATCCTCATGATGACCTCCAAGCCCTTTCAGTTTTTTCCCAGCCCATCCCCCCTACACTGGCTACATTCCCCTCCCTTTCCTGTTTCGATAGCTTGGTGAAACGGCACTTTACAGTATCCTCTGTTCTTAAAGACCTCGTTCCCTTGGCCTATTCCCATCAACCCTTGCCAAACTCCTTGTATTACCACCCCCTCTCCACAAACTGCCTCCTAAGTACTGCTTAATGGAGCTAAAAGAGTTCAGGAGACAATGCTGATTGGGTCCATAGTCTTACCCTAGGGTTGCTTCACTGAAGCCGGGAAGAATCAGCATTGTCTCTTTACTCACACAGCCACCGTGATTAAGGCACTGATCATCTCTTACCTGGACTATGGCCAAAACCTGATTGGACCCCCACCTTCATTTCTCCCCACTCCAATCCATCCTCCACTCAGCTGCCAAAGTGATTTTCTGAAAACAGATCTGTCAGCGTTTCTCCCACCCCCTCAATAAACTCCAGTGGTTCCTATTTAGGATAAAATAAAAAGTTTGTTATATAAAGTCTGTTTCAGTCAACCAACATTCAGAGCCCGCTCTGTGCCAGGCACTGTGCTAAGTGCTGGGGATGCAAAAAGAGGCAAAAGACAATCCCTGCCCTCAAGGAGCTTACAATCTAATGGGAGAGACAACAAGCAAACATATAGAAAGCAAGTTCTATACAGGATAAATAGGAAATAATTAGGAATGGGAAGGCACTAGAATTGAGAGGGGTTCGGAAGGCTTCCTGTAAAAGGTGATATTTTAGTTGGGGCTTAAAGGAAGCCATTGAGGTCAGTAGTCTGAGGGAAGGAAGGCACGTGGGACAGCCAGAGAAAATGCCCAGAGCCAAGAGAACGACAGTCAGGAGGCCAGCGTCACTGGATCGAAGAATATGTGTCTCAGAGTAAGCTGTAAGAAGAACGGGAAGGTAGGAGGGGGCCAGGTTATGAAAGGCTCTGAATGCCAAGCAGAGAATCCTGTATTTGATCCAGGAAGTGATAGAGAGCCACAGGAGTTTATTCAGTAGAGGATGATGCGGTCAGACCTGTGCTTTAGGAAATCACTTTGGGGGCTAAATGGAGGATGGGTTGAAGTGGGGAGAAACTTGAGGCAGCAGACCCACCAGCTGCCGTTGCAACAATCCAGATGTGAGGTGGTGAGGACCTGGATTGGGGCAGGGGCAATGCCAGAGGAGGGATGGCTTGCCAAAGAGGTGAGATTGGCAGACCTTGGCAACAGCTTGGAATTGGGGGGAGGGAGAGGGAGAGGCGTGCTGGCATCTAAAGCTCTTCATAACCTTCCTGCCTCTCTAGGCTCCCTACACATTCGTCTCCTTCATAAGCTGCAGTCCAACTTGTGCCTACCTGCTGCTCCTGGCACACAAACTCCACATAGCGCATCTCCCTGCCGGGGCTGTTCTCCTGCCTCAGCTCTATCTCTTCATTTCCCTGGCTTCCTTCAAGTCTCAGTTCAGGTGCCACCTTCTGCTTGAGATCCCATTCTTCCAACCTGCTTTGTAGAAAGAAGCTTATTCGGAAACAGGAGTAAGAGAATGTGGCGGGGCTGGGAAGAGAGGGAGGAATATGAGAGGCTTTTCCCTAGTCCTTCCCCCTCCCCAGAGGCTAGAGCAGGGGATTAACCTGACATGGACCCCACCAAGGAGTTTAATAGACAAATTTCAGGGGGTTCATGAACTTGGGTGGGAAAAATATTGCATTTTAATTTTCACGAGTATCTAATTGAAATTTAGAAATCTAAATTGAAATTTAAATTCTTTCAATTATTTAACAGCATGATTCTGAGAAAGGGGCCATAGGCTTCACCAGTCTGACTGGCAAAGGGGCACCCTGAGACACACACACACACACACACACACACACACACACACACACATCCTCTGCCCAGAGCCCTCCCCTCTAAGATTACCTTTCCTGTTTTCTGCATGTATCTTTTATATGTATTTACCTGTTTATTTCTCCACGTTAGTGTGTAAGCTCCTTGAGGGCAGGGATTGTTTTTGTCCTTCTTTGTATCCCTAGTACATAAACACAGTGCCTGATATATAGTACATAGTAAGACATAGGGAATTGGTAAATTAGAGCTCCCAAGTGACAAAACTCCCTCTACCAATGCAGGTCAGCTCCTTCTCTTCAATTTAGGGTCTTAGAGAATTGTCAATGGTGGCAAGCCCCAAATAGAGATAGGGGCCATTAAACCATACATGAGGGTCCTGGCAGACTGACTTAGAAAACCAGAAAACCACAAATTAACATTATCTATATTCTATATTTTTATTTTGTTAAATATTTCCCAATTACATTTTAATTTGAGGGTGGAGGGGATTGTAGCCTGGGTTACTGTTTGACACCCTGGCCTACAGCACTGAGACTTTAAAATGACTTGCCCAGAGTTAAGACAACCAGCATGTTGTCAGGGGCAGGGCAAGAACTGGTGTCTCAGCTTTGGAGACCAACTCTATCCACTATCAGCACACAGTAAGCATTTAATACATCCTTGTTAATTGATTGATCCCTGCTTATCACAGCCATTAGCACACAGGAGGAGATTAAATGTTTATTGACTGACTGATTGATTAGCCCTCGTAGCCTCAAAGTCTAAGACTCTTCCCCACAGGCATCTTATTCTTTCTTCAGGAGAATTTCTTGCTTTTAGACACCCACTTCCAACCCCTATCCCTTCAGGTTGTTCTGGGTTTGTTTGGGTTTTTTTTCCCCCCTCCTACTGAGGGCCAAGGGAGCAAAACTGTCTGATGCTCAAAGGGAGATAAGAGAAATCTTTCCACTCACCTTCTCCAGGCCACCGTTTACTCCCGTTTGGGAGAAATATCTCCTATCCGAGTTCAATGTGGTGGCTAACCACTGCCAAATACACATTTACCACAAAGCAGAAATTATGGGGGTAAAAATCTAGAGTCTATGATTATGCTCAAGCAAAGGTTTGGGCCTCAGAGCAAACCTGAACCGCTCTGAAGAGTCTGACAAGGCTTCTTCTCAGGAAGATTATGTCAGCATGACAAAGAAATCATCATTTACATGTTGTGATCTTGTACATTCCCCTTAGGCCCTAAGAGCAAAGAGAAGATGGAGCCATAATCCCATACTTCCTTCAATGTCATGAAAGTTCAACAAACGTGGCTACTCAGAGTTAAAATCTCATACATCTCCTAAGAAAACAAACCTCAGACAAACGCTATAGGTAAACAATGTCAAGTTGCAGATTAGGCTGCATTGGAGGAACACAGGCTGACTGAGGAGGAGGAGGAGGAGGAGGAGGAGGATATATATGTCAGCAAAGAGTGGGCACAGCTGAGGTTCTTCTTCTGGCCTCTTATCTAAGGGATGTCTGAGGCTCCTAAGTCAATTTTTACATTCCATGGGACAGGTTTTGGTCAGATGAGGTTAATATTAACCCAAATTTGCAGGAGGAATTGCCCAGAGTCCAAAATTATAGAAAGAAATCAAAAGTGCCCATGACAGGTCCCATAACACTCCTCCATTTCTACCTACCTCAGCTACTGCAATAACCCTTACAAGGTCTTCCCACATCCACTCTCTGTTCCCTCCAATCTCTCCTTCCTACCGCTCCCAGAACAGTCTTCCTTCAGCATAGATCAGGTCCCATTAGTCTCCTACTCTGAGTCCTTCAATGGTCTCTTATTGCTTCCTCTAGGCCGTGCACCAGCCCACCTTCTCAAAGCCAGTCCTACTCCTATTCATTACAGACATATGTGAAGCCCCTCTGGCCCTAAGAGCACTATATCCTTCCCTACCCTTCCCTGCATGTCCTGTCTCTGTCTCTGTCTCTGTCTCTGTCTCTCTCTCTCTCTCTCTCTCCACCCCTTTCACTCCTACCCATCCTTTAAAGTAGAAATTCATAACCTGTTTTGTGTAATAGATCCCTTTGGCAGCCTGGTGAGTCCTATGG